AGTGTCACTGGCCCTCATATGTGGGATCCGAACCGGGGCCCTCTGGCATCCCAAGCGAGTTCTTAACCATCGCGCCACTCGGCCGGCCCAGGAGCAAGTGTTTACTGCTCAGTTACTATTGACCAGGCACTTCCCATACAATCTCTGATTTAATGATGTCAGCATTTACATACGGTATTTCTATGCTCGGTTCCAGATGCAGCCTACGATTGTTAGGGTGCAGGATGAGGATGCAAGGCATTTGGGCATACAGGGTTCTTAAACTCTTGCCATTGCAGAAGCTGCCACACTTTGTGTCTTGAAAAGATTCCCTCCTAAATAAATAAAATAATTATCATGCTCATCATTCACCTTCCCTCTAATGACTGTTACCTGCAGTGTCTATTCAAATCTTAAAATAACGTTTATGTTTTTATTCCCTTGGGCAGGAGAGCTTATATACACACAAATCAGATATGCTTCTCGTTTATATTTGCCTAACATAGCCCAGCCAAGTGTTGTCCTGCTCAAATCTGTGACTTACATCACACCCACTGCTGTTTCGGTTAGACTCAAACTGCAGCATTATGCCAACATTTTTTGTTTTCTTTCCTAGCAAATAAAGGCCTTGCTTTCCAATCAAGGACTTCTACCATACACGTAGCCTAACCTGTCTTCCCAGTCTCATCTGCTCTTCCTTGCTAACAAAACCCAGCCTATGTAAAAGCATATTGATACGCGTATTGTTGGTCATTTTTCTATTCAAAATTTTTCTATTCTACTTCTTGGCTTGCATGACCTTCAACTCTGTCCCCTCCCCCGCATCCCAAACTTTTAACCATGCCTTGTCTGTCTCTCTTTCTTTTCTTCTCCTCTTTAGTTGCCTCCAAAACCATTGCAATAGCTTTGACCGTCACCTCTGTGCAGCTCATTCTCAAGTCCTCCCCTCTGGACCTGAGCTCTCTAACAGGTCCAGAAATGGAATCTCTGTAATCTCAGGCCTGAGATTCCACGTGCTTGTTTCCACTAGGTATCTCTCCAGGGATACGCCTCAAAGACAGCCTTTTAATATACTTAAACCCATATTCTTCACAGAAAACCTGCTCCTCTTAGTTCATTCTTTATCCCTGTTATTGGCAGCATAGTCCATCAAGACACCTAAATTCAAGGGCCGGCCAAGTGGCGCGATGGTTAAGAACTCGCTTGGGACGCCAGAGGGCCCCAGTTCGGATCCCACGTATGAGGGCCAGTAACACTGCCCTCCACAGCTAAGATGCTGAACAACAGCTCAACCTGGAGCTGGGCTGCCTATGAGTCGCCGGCGACGGCATGGGCTGCAGTCCCTGTGGCA